CAACAGCAGGCGAGGTGATAAAACTTGCATTGGACAGGAGGTCCTCAGACTGCTGGGGGGCGGGGGGGGGAATGCATGGCCACTCTTTCACATAAGCCCCCCCAAACCCTCCCTGTGCATCCAAAATTGTGAGGGACTATTTTGGGAGTGACTATTGAGCAAAATTTGACCTGGAGCGCTAACACCATTGCTCTGGTGAAGAAGGCCCAGCAGAGGCTCTTTTTTCTCAGACTTTTAAAGAAAAATAACTTGAGTGAGAAAACATTGATGTCCTTCTATCGCTGCTCAATAGAGAGCATTTTAATATATTGCGTTTGTGCCTGGTTTGCCAGTTGTACGGCTGTGGAGAGGAAAGCACTCCAGAGAGTTGTTATTACAGCCCAGAAGATCATTGGCTGCCCTCTCCCATTCCTGGAGGAATTGTAAAGTTCTCGATGTTTGAAAAAAGCAAAGAACATTTTGCAGGACTTGTCACATCCTGAACATTCCCTGTTTGAACTGCTGCCTTCGGGCAGAAGATATAGGACAATTAAAGCAAGGACAAATAGATTAAAAAATAGTTTTTATTCGAGAGCTATTATTACCTTAAATGCTGTATGAAATTGGAATTTGGGTGACATTGGTGGTTTTAAGTTGTTATGTGAACCTTAAGGGAGTAATGGGACAGTAGTGAATGGTGCGTGAGTGTATATGAGTATTGTTGTAGATCACCTAAATGATTGCATCTTTAATTGGAACCTTTACCTTTACCTATGTACAATGACAATAAAGTATATTATTATCATTATCATCATCATTATTATTATTATTATGAGGGCTAGCCTAGATGTTATTTTATTCATTACTTTATTTTCTTCACTTATCCTCCAGCTGTCACCTCAATGGGGACCCAGAGCAGCTGGCATCATTCTCCTCTCCTCTAATCCTCACAACCCTGCGAGGTAGGTTAGGCTGAGAGTGTGTGACTGGCCGAAGGTCACCCAGCCAACTTCCATGGCAGAATGAGTGATTCGAATCTGGTCTCCCACATCAGCCACTGTACCATGCTGGTGCTCTCTCTCTCTCTCTGAAAAGCTTTGTATTATATGTGAAGGGACTTTTAAACATATATGTGAGACAACGAATCTGCCTGCAATACGACTGCCGTTTGAGATACTATCGTTTAAGAACGGTCCGGGTAGGGATGCCAGCCTCCAGGTGGGACCTGGGGATCTCCTGGAGTTACAGCTCATCTCCAGACTCCAGAGATCAGTTCCCCTGGAGAAAAAGGGATGCTTTGGAGGACGGACTCTGTGGCACTGTGCCCCACTGTGGTTCTGTCTTCCCCAGGTTCAACCCCCAAATCTTCAGACGTTTCCTTTCCCGGACCAGGCGACCCTCAACAGTTGTACTATCTTATCTTGTTTGTGTGAATGAGACCTGAAAATGGGCAGTGTTAAGAATGGCCACTGGGCTCTTCCAGCTGTTTCCTGACCCTCCCCCCCCATCTATTTGCCCCCTGGGAAAGGGCCCAACAGTTAAAACCTGCTTTGGTCTCCAGAACCCCCCCCCCCCAGGTTCAATCCGTAGCTTCTCCGTTTTTGTTTTTTAAGAATTGCAGATTGTGAGAAAGACCTTCTGTTTGAGCTGCTGCTGGTCAGAACAAGCCGTATCGGGGCAGGTGGCCTGACTCGCATTATACAGCAACTTCGCATGTCCCTGGTGGGGCTGCGGGAAAGACCAGGGCAGGAGTGTTGCCTAGAAGGGGGGGGGGAGCTCCCAGCAACATCCTCTCGAGTGGAGACTTTGCTCCAGCGAGATTCAGAGATTCCCGGTTCATCGCGGCCCCCGACCATGTTCAAAGGCTCCTTTGTTTCAGTCCTTCGAGGCCACAGTGGAATCCAAGAGCCGCCCCCTTGTTTCTCTGGACCCCCATGACCTCCCCACAACAACCCCCTTTGCCTCCGTTTCCGGGATAGTCAGTTTCTCTCAGTCCTATATATGTTTCCAGCTGGTGGGCAGGATGAGTGTCCATCTATATATCTAATTGCCAAGGTGCCCCCTGCGTGTGGATATCTAAATCTGCACATCGGGGGCACGTGGGGGGCAGGGAGATTTTCCTGCACACTTGGAGTAGTCTCCAGGTCTGCAGAAAAATCTAAAAAGTTGAAAAAAGTATACAGGGGATATTTAAATCCCCCCAAAACTAAAAGAGTGTTCCCTCCGCATGCACAGGGAACACTCTGGGAACTCGAGGGCAGCCGGTGGCTGGAAGCTGCTCAGTCCTCTGCTGTTTCCAGCTGTTGGGCAGGATGAGTGTCCATCTATACATATATATATATATATTATACACGCTTAGACGCCTCTGCTGTTTCCAGCTGTTGGGCAGGATGAGTGTCCATCTATACATATATATATATATATTATACACGCTTAGACGCCTCTGCTGTTTCCAGCTGTTGGGCAGGATGAGTGTCCATCTATACATATATATATATATATTATACACGCTTAGACGCCTCTGCTGTTTCCAGCTGTTGGGCAGGATGAGTGTCCATCTATACATATATATATATATATTATACACGCTTAGACGCCTCTGCTGTTTCCAGCTGTTGGGCAGGATGAGTGTCCATCTATACATATATATATATATATTATACACGCTTAGACGCCTCTGCTGTTTCCAGCTGTTGGGCAGGATGAGTGTCCATCTATACATATATATATATTATACACGCTTAGACGCCTCTGCTGTTTCCAGCTGTTGGGCAGGATGAGTGTCCATCTATACATATATATATATATATTATACACGCTTAGACGCCTCTGCTGTTTCCAGCTGTTGGGCAGGATGAGTGTCCATCTATACATATATATATATAATACACGCTTACACGCCTCTGCTGTTTCCAGCTGGTGGGCAGGATGAGTGTCCATCTATTTTAGAAAGGCCAAAAGATGCTGGTGGAAATTATTTTCCAGAGGAAAGAACAACCACAACAAAAATTCTTGTTAATGGATCATTGCTCTGAGAGAGCTGCACGGCTCCATCCTGAGCTCTAGATGAGAGGATTCTCCCCCCCCCCCCCCGGGAGGTGAGCACAGGAAGCCAGAGGCCGAGAGGACAGAGGATTTTCCTGCCGGTGTTTTATCAATCTTTTATAATAAAGCACTTTTGAAACATGCAAGAACCATTCTGAAATATTCATTGCCTTTTGTCTCACTGGAAATAACTTTGAAAGAGCAGGTCAGTCTGTTTCTGGAGACAGGGAATTGATGCAGGAGGAGAGAAGAAGTTGTGAAGCTGGGGGGAGGGCGGAGGCTATCCGTCTCCGGGCTGGTGCCCAAACAGCACTCCCATCCATTAACCCTCGCCACAAGCAGCAAGCCGGTGAGCTGCGAAATTTAGGTGCTTGTTCAACAGCAGCAGACGACTTAAGCAAGTGAGCCAAACTGCATACCAGTGCGAGGGGGCAACACCTTCCGCAACACCTGGGGAAGGCACCTTGCAGGGTAGGTGGGGCTGAGGGAGTTCTGACAGAGCCCAAGGACCCAGCAGGCTTCATGTGGAGGAGGAGAGGGGAATCAAACCTGGTTCTCTGAGATTAGTGTCTGCTGCCCTTAACCACTACACCACACTGGCTGGAGCAGGCTTAAGAGTTCTCGACAACGCTTCATCGCTTCTAGACATTTACCTGATGAAGTGTTCTGAAGAACCTGAAAGCGTGCAGAATGGGGTCGATCTGGTCAGCTTGTGGTTTTTTTTCACTCTATCTCACTTTAATAAGTTATCACCTGGATTTTGGTTTTGGACATCATTTTTGATTCACACCAAAATCCTCGTGTGGTACCCTTTGAGTGTCTTTTAGCATAGAAAAGGTGCCTGCAGGCCACTTCTTTGAAAGTTTGTTTGAGGAAGGGCACCACTTGGCTTGTTTTGGGTGTCTCAGTCAGGGATCCTGGCGGTGCGAAGAAAAAAAATCTGGCCCCATGGGGCGCAGGAACCATTGCAAAGAAATGTGATGCTCCATTTCAGCTGCAACTACTCTCCTTGCCTATATCAACTGGATTTCTAAAGGATCAAGGATCTGGGGTGACCCGTGTGCTACGTGATCACTGTGGAAAAGCTTACAGAGATGCAATCACAGTTGCTAACCAAGTTTCTCAGAGGCAGAGAGTACAAATTTGCATATACAGCGAAGCCAGAAGATAATTCACACACACATACACACACACACCCCAAACCTGCTCCACATATTCAGAAAAATTTCCTTGTTCCTCAAATAAACAGATTTCTCCTGAGGCCTGGAGTGATTTTAAAAAGTAAGCTAAAAAGTAGTGCTGGAGCCATCAACTTATAAATGACAGAATCTCTCTGCTCTCCTGTGGAGAGAAGGGAGAAACCAAACTGGAAGGCATTTCTTTCCTTGGGTGTAAACTGGGGTGGGGGTGGGGGGATGGGACCTGATTGAAAAGTAGGAAGAAGAGGCAATTTATCTCCAGGGGAAGGGGGTGGGGAGGAGGAAGGAAACAGGCGTTAAAGGGATCAATTCTTTCCCAACTGGAGGCGGTTTGTAACATGAAACCCCAAGGAGACAGATCAATTTCCCACTCTGACATCCTTCCTTTTGGGGAAAGAAACAAAAGGTAGTCGCTATAAGCCCCCTACTACCAGAGAACCCAGGATTTCCGAGCCCCTCTCATTACATCCCACTAGACCTCTGTGTCTCCTTCCAAGAGCCTTTGCCTGGTCCGGCTTTCCTGCCCCCTTCTTTCAGCCCCCTTGCACCCCATTCCTCTCTCAGGGGCTCCTGGCTTTGATTTACTACCCTTGACCCCCAATTCTCGTCCTAGGGAATCCCACTATCCCAACTCCTCCCTCCCTTTCCTAATACTAGATCTTTCCTATCTTCCCAGAAAACTCAGGGAGTCCTGGACTCCCAAACCCCTTTAACCTGAACCAGTGAATTCAACCCACCCACCCCCAGCACACTTCTTCCCCTGCATCCTGAACTCACCACCCCCTTGCTGATCTTGTGGCCATTGGAGGATCTCACTCTGGTCCAGGGGATGCTCCAGAGGAAGAGAGAAACCAGGACCTCAGTCAGCAGCAGCATCTTGGCTGGGCTACGGCGCTCAGTGGTGCCTCCGGCCACAGCCTTGCCCCTATATAGAGCAGCTCCCCCCTCCCTTCCCTTCTTCCTGTCTCACTTCTCTCTGTCTCCTCCAGCTGGGTAAATCCATAGAGTAACACAGAAACACCAGGCTTCCTGGAGGGGAGAGAGATCTGCAGGGGGAAAGAGAAAGAGAAAGGATGGGAACTGTGACTTCCTGTAGTGGGGGAGCAGGGCCTAGTGGGGAGAGGAGGCAAAGTTGACAGCAAGCAGAAGCGCAGAGTTCAGTCTAACACCAAAAGCCACACAGCACCTTTTCTCAAGAGGCAGTGTGGCGTGGTGGTTAAGAGTGCCAGGCTAGGATCCGGGAGACCCAGGTTTGGATCCCCCACTTGTGCCCTGGAAGCTCGCTGGGTGACCTCGGGCCAGTTGCGCTCTCTCGGCCTAAAGTGGAGGAGAGGAGACGGATGGAAGCCACTTTGGGTCCCCATTGGGGAGGAAGGCAGGGTATAAGTGAATAAAATAAATAAAAGAAAAGAAAATTCAGTTGGTGAAGCTTGTCAAACACAGCCTGTTGGTTTTCTGCCTGTTGCACTTCTGTTAACTGCGAATGGCAGAAAAGGATAGCAATCTCACTGCAATCTCAGTCCTTAAACGCTACCATGGCCCAAGACATCCCCCCTTCACCCTGCACACTTTCCCTTTCGCTTTTTCACCAACACCCAAGAGTTTGGGAGAATGCCTTTGTCATTAGTTTGGGTAAAGGTTCCCTTGCTCGAAAGCCTGGGAGAATGCCTTTGTCGTATAGTTTGCGTAGTACTACATGCACTTATAAGGGCCAAGAAGCAACAGTTAGAAAGCGCTGTCCGAAGACGTTTCCGTGGTCATGTGGCCGGCATGACTAAACACCAAGGCGCTCGGAACGCTGTTACCTTCCCACCGAAGCGGTACCTATTTATCTCCTTGCAATTTCTTGCTTTCGAACTGCTAGGTTGGCAGGAACTGGAACTAGAGACGGGAGCTCACTCCGTCATGCGGCAACCCGGGTCTCGAACTGCTGAACTACTGACCTTCCACAGCCTGCAGTTCAGCGTCTTAACCACTTGAGCCACCGCAGCTCCTAAACTAAGCTAAACTAAACTAAGCTAGTTTGGGTAGGACTCAATAAAAAGTACTACATTCACTTTGGTTTTTGGATTTTACTAAAGGAGCATCTCTCTCTTATTGTTTTGGCTCTAATGGTATGTTGGTTAAGGCGGAGAGAAGCTAGGGCACCTGGGTTCCCGCTGCAGCTGGGGGTGGGGTGGGATATGGTTGGGGGAGAAGGGCGTTTTCTAGACTAGACCAGACCAACTGCCTCTCACCCTCCCCCCAAATTTCTCTTCCCTGCAGCCCAATTAACCTTGCTTCCTTTGGCGGAGGAAATTAACCTGTTTCCCGAAACCTTTGATCATCCCCCTTCGCCCACCTCCCTCCCAATCCCCATGTTTAATTTCCCTCTTCACACTTGGTCGCCTCCTGGTGAGGCTAAGAGTGGGAGGGAGCGGGCATTCCCCCTGTGGCTGTCAGCCCACACCCCAAAGGCTGAGTTTTAAGCCCAGCTGAGAAATTCCTTTTCAGTCCCAGGAGCTGGGTATCCCACATTAAACCATAGGTTTTGGTACTAGGCAAGAGGATGTTGGCATTATCAGCTGGCCGCTCTTTAAAACATCTTCCCACCAGACCTGTAGCCACGATTTTGTGGCTTGTGGGGCAAATTTCCCCCCAAGGGGACTGAAGTTCTCAGTGCAGACAGAAAAAAACAGAATTCTGAGGATTATGACTCAGCTACTCTTCTCTCTCTGAGTCTTCTCAAGCTGTCTACTGCTAGCATAGGTGTTCTTATGCCAGCAACCACCCTTAGCCTATTAACCGTTTAGCCAAAAGAAAGTCATTACCAGGATGGTTCTCTACATTGCAAGTTGTCAACCACTTTAGATGACAGTTCTTAGCTACTGCAGTTTAAACACTTCTGCCAGCCTAAGCAACAATTCTGATAACAAGCTGGCAGGTGGGGGTGATGACTTCTATAGTCAAGAAAGCTAACACTTAGGCAGAAAAACTCTCTTAAAGGAAACAAGTTTCTTGACACAGAGTTAGAAGGGATCCTAGAGGTCACCTACTCCAACCCCTTTGCTCGGTGCAGGAATTAGTCAACTACAGCACCCCACTCTGTTTAAAGCACACCTTTGTAAAAAAGTGTTAAAATGATTGGAAAAGCATTTATAGGATGAATTCTTGTGGTGCTGTGCCTTTAAGAAAGGAGGCAGAGCCCCCAAAAGCCCCACCCTAGTTACGGGCCTGCTTCCCACTCTCACCTGTCTGTTGCTTGTAACTTTATACATCACTTATGGAAGTACGCTGAATGCATCTGATGAAGTGAGCTCTGGAACAAATACTGCTGGACTTCTGCTTTAATACGCAATGCCGTCCACTCTAGAGACAGCTTCCCTGCATTGCACCATGTGGAGAGAGATCCCTGAGTAAAAAGTATTCCAGCATACTTTCTCAGTTACATGTGAACATGACACAGTAGTCTGGCTGAAGACAGGGATGTCTGGTTGCTCTCAGTATCTGGACATGCCTTTGACCCCAACTTAAAAATTCCTGGCTATGGGCCTGGGTAGGGTTTCGGGCTAGCACTCTGGTGGATCAGAACAGTGTCATCTAGACGACTTCTGGTTTCGGCGTTCGCCATGGCGTTCGCGTTTTCCTGGGGCTCTGGGAGACATGTGCCAGAGCCTGCGATTGGTAGGGGGCGTGGCTGTCCGCACCACCCCAGAGCCTTTGCGTTGGGCTCCCAGCCATGGGGTGCTAGAAAGCCCCTCCTCTGGTGACCCTGCTGGCAAAGGGGGGCTATTCCATGTCCCGAAGGTCCCTGGATGGGAACTAGAAGCGCACACCGGAGCAAGCGTTTGGTGGCCAAGCGAACTGAAAATTAAAAGAGGATACATCGTTGAAATGTGAGTCAAAGTTGAAGCAAGAAACACTGAGAATTAGCCGAAAACCTCCCCTTTGAAAGCGAGGGGGAGAGGGAACTTTCCCCCGATAAGAAAAAAACAAACAAACTTTGAGCTACGAATAAAAGGGGTGGGTGGGCTATTGAAGCAAGGTGGACTGACATAAAGAGCTTGTAAGAACTTACCAGGCTTTGCCAAGAGTTCGAGAGACTGTGATAACTTTTACAAAAAGTAACTCACAAACATGGCGCCTCCAAGGAGGGATGAGAAAGACAAACAAGCGAAACTTAAGCCACTGGCTGGAAATGCCAGCCCAGTGAGTTCTGTCCCTAGACAGGACACAACTACAGATCTTCAAAGGATGCTGAGTGAAGCGCTGCAACCTCTGCTGGAACAAGTTACAGCATTGCACCATAAACTTGATGCACAACAAACCCAATTAAATGAGATGGTAAAAAACCCAGAAAAAACGGAGCAAGAACTTAAAGAGGTGGATGCCAACACCAAGAAGCTTAAAAAACAACTGCAGGCGACGGAGAAAAAGAGACTAACTGACGAGTCTCATCTGTTACAACTACAAATGGAAAGGGCAAGCTATATCCTAATATTTCAAGGTGTTCCAGAAGAGAAGGGAGAGAATCTGAAGCAGATCATATGTGATGCTTTGGGACCCATGGCAGATGTTAAAATGGATATATTACAAAGCGAAATTGATACGATCTTTAGGTCATATTCAGAATTTACAAGAAAGAATAATCTTCCCGGGGAAGTTATGTCTTCTGGAGATCGTATCAATTGAAGGACATTCCATTTGAAATAAGAAGGAAAAGAAGGAAATTCAGAGACTTGGTATTATTTCTACAGAAGAACAACATCCCCTACAGATGGATCGTTCCCGAAGACATAATCTTCAAATTTATGGACAAGAAAGAAAAAATTGACTCTGTTGAAAAGGCACATGAGTTTTTACATCAATATAGTCGTCCAGCAGGAGTAGAAGAAGAGGAGGAAGAGGACAGCACCAAAGAAAGTGAAGAAGAGAGAGCAGTGGCATCTTCTGAAGAGAACTCAGATTCAGCATTGGGGGCGGCAGCCCCCAAAACAAGCTACTAGTTGAGAAAGAAAAAGGATAAAAAATGAATACTTATTGCACTCTGGAATTTCTTTAAAATTTCTATTTTTTGTAATCATTTCTTATTTTGCTCTTTAGGAAGTCAGACATGGTGGAGTTTTAATTTTTTTTCTGTTTAAATAGATTAGTACTCTAACTGTAATTTTGAGCTAAAAGCTAATTTTATAAGCATTATGTATGACCACCATCTCTTGGGTTTTTAGTGGGTTTCTCCCATAGTTTGCAGATCCCTTCCATATTTCCGTTGTAGTTTATAGAAAAAGCAATAAAAAATCCCCTACGGGGGGACAAAAAAAAAAAGAACAGTGTCATCTAGTCCAGCATCCTATCTCACACAGTGGCCAACCACGGGTAGGATCTCACCATTATTTTCTACTAAAAAAAATAAGAGGGTTCCCCTTTGACCACCCAAAAAGGTTATGGTGGGGAAAAAAGGACCTGTGAGTACAACAATCATGTGCAACAGGAGCCCTAGTAAGGAGGGAAACTGGGCAAGATTGAGTGGGAAAGATGGCTGGATCCAATCCCATGCTTCTAATAGCTGGGCTCAGCTCTTAAGTGTGGTGAAAACAGTAATGACTTCTAGCCTGTGCAAAGCGCATTTCCCGCACCAATGAGTCACCCCTGTCAGCCCCCTGCACACTTGAGGAGTTATGCAGCAGGGCTCCCAGGGCAGAGATCCCACACAGGCTTAGGATGAGAGCCAGCATGGTGCCCTGGTTAAGGCTGACACCTGGGGAACCCAGGTTCGAATCCCCCTTCTGCCATGGCCTTGGGCCAGCCATGTACTCTTTGCTGAACCTACTCCACAGGGTTGCTATGGGGATAAAACGGAAGAGAGAAAAATGATATAAGGCCCCGGTCACACAGGC